TATATATATATATATATATATATATAAAATTTAAAATGGACCAAAGAAGAAAACCCAAGTCAATGTTAACGTGCTACCTACATGATATAATATAAGATACAGATTTAACTTTTTTTTTTCTAATATAGATAAACATATGTTAAGTTCATATGCTTAGCACAAATATATTTGTTTTTTGTTTCATTTTGAAATGTTGCAAAACAAATTAAGTTAGATAAACATATTTTTTTTGGTAAAATAAACATATGTTATAAGTTCATATCGTGATAGATTTTATAGGAAAATATGTTATATATCAATATCATATTTAATACGGATTAATCCCATAAAAAATCTCAAACTTGTTAAAATATTCCATATAGAACTCTCGTTGATATGATAATTTTATTTTGTGTATGTATGTTAATTTTATTTTTATGTTTAAAATTTTAAATTGATGATGTGACGTTGATATGATAATTTAGTCAATTCACTAATTTGTCATGCTAAAGTAGTAATATTTTTTATTAAATAAATAAAATATTTTATACAGAAGAAAATGATAAATTTTTAATTTTTATGAAAATTTTTGCCAAATTCAGAGTTTTTCTTGAATAACTATAAATTGAGGATTTTACATGAAATATTTTAACAAGTTTAGGGTTTTTTTTATGGGATCAACCCTATTTAACACACATAACATACTAAAATAAATAATTCAAATCTTAATAAGGTTAGATTTCATTTACTTTTGTAGATTTTGTAAATGTTTTATATACATTTAAAATATATAAACTTTTCATTCGTTTTGGATTTTATTTATATTTTTTTCGCTTTTGGGTTATATAGAAATTCCGTAGTATATGTTTTATATTTGAATATATATATATATATATATATATATATATATATATGATGTATATATATTTTTTTTGGGTAACCGGATCCCATAAAAAATCTCAAACTTGTTAAAATATTCCATATAGAACTCTCGTTGATATGATAATTTTATTTTGTGTATGTATGTTAATTTTATTTTTATGTTTAAAATTTTAAATTGATGATGTGACGTTGATATGATAATTTAGTCAATTCACTAATTTGTCATGCTAAAGTAGTAATATTTTTTATTAAATAAATAAAATATTTTATACAGAAGAAAATGATAAATTTTTAATTTTTATGAAAATTTTTGCCAAATTCAGAGTTTTTCTTGAATAACTATAAATTGAGGATTTTACATGAAATATTTTAACAAGTTTAGGGTTTTTTTTATGGGATCAACCCTATTTAACACACATAACATACTAAAATAAATAATTCAAATCTTAATAAGGTTAGATTTCATTTACTTTTGTAGATTTTGTAAATGTTTTATATACATTTAAAATATATAAACTTTTCATTCGTTTTGGATTTTATTTATATTTTTTTCGCTTTTGGGTTATATAGAAATTCCGTAGTATATGTTTTATATTTGAATATATATATATATATATATATATATATATATGATGTATAGATATTTTTTTTGGGTAACCGGATATCTTAGTCCAATATCCAAATTAATCCCGGATCACAAGTCAATCATATGATTTGTAATATAAACACTCTCCCTAAATTTGAAGTTCGAATCAGGGTGGGACAAATGTTTTATACCTCCGTTTAACCGGTTAAACTATTCAGTATTTTATAGATAGTGTGTGCAATTTGCATCCATATATGGAGGTATAAATTTGCATTTTTGTGCATATATGTAGGCAACAAATGTTTTCTGTGTGCAATTTGCATTTTCTGTGTGCATATATGTAGGCACGTATACGTACATGTACATAAATAAATGTTATTTTTTTTTTGTTAACATTTAAATATTAACAGTTGTACCAAAGAAACGATTACAGCTCTCAATTTTGACTGACTGCACGGTCATGTCAACATGCAGAGAAGTCAAATATCGTACATTAATTTCACATATATTATTTATATTATTTTGTGGATCGTGTCTAAACTTATTATTACATCATTGAATATTCAACCAAAATATACAATAGTACAATACAGAACAAACATGTCCGAAATTTAAATGTCTTCAAAATTCATAAAATTTGTACAGTTGGAAAGGTTGTTCCTCGAGGATTTCAGAACCGGTATCGGTTTTCAGAATACCGGTTTAAATGTTCTTCTTTTTGGACCCGGTTTGGTTTAGCAATGAAATCATACCAATTGAGAATTCGGTCTATATTGGTGGGCCATTAATGGAAATTAGAGTTCGGCTTTGAGACAAAGACTTGACTCTACCAAATCCAAAGGTTGAGGCCCAAAAAACAAACCAATTAATCTCTCGTTCGCCTATTTTTTTTAATTAATATTATATCCCCTTCCAATTTTATTAGTTCGGTCAATTTTGTAATTTTTCTTAATTTTATTGGATAAATCGTTCTTATTTAATTATTTTTTCCTTTCTTTTACCCACTTGCCATCTTTTGACAGACTACATATATTAGATCATGTCGTGTGATTTACCTGATGATTTTCTTTTAATGATTGATATAATCTCGTTTAATGGCACATTATGATTTCCTTCTTTTAACCATGGAAATATATTTCTAAATATCTCCAGAATTCTAATTCTAATTAAAATTCAACCATTTTGCAAAAATATACAAATTTGTTTAATAGATAAAATATTAAAATGCGGTGAAAATATACAAATTTGTATTGATTCATTTTAATGACACATTAAGACAAAAACACACAATTTTTTGAAGTTATCAAATGCTTGTGATTTTTTTTCTCTCAAGGTTATAAATGGAAAATAAAAATTGGAAAAAAAAATGGCATCTACCTATGGAATTGTTTTGTCTCTCTATAGTACTGTGATTGCAAGGAAAACACGAAAGGAAAGCGCCTAAACCTGCGAAAGCCAGATCACATCTCACGCGCACTCTCTGTCTCTTCTCCTAGATTTCGCTCGCCGTCGGGTTCATACTCTGGTCTGGATCAGGACAAATTCGGCTTCGTGGATCCTGTCCGAATCCGGATGTGGGTTTTACGAATCAGTTCATAATCTGGATTGGTCGGTGAGTAAATCGTGGAAGCGGCGTCGGCGTCGGCGGAGGAAGTGAGCGATCGAAGATGCGGCGGCGGCCGGCGAGGAGGAGGCTGTCGAGTTTGATATGGCTCCTACTGGGTTCGTTCTCTGTCGCTGGATTGGTTCTCTTCATGGTTCATCATCATCGAGATCCAAATCAGCTGACGATCGTATGTCCTTGTTCCATGGGTTTCGATTTGATTCTCTTGTTCTTCCTTGAATCTCTCGGATTCGGTGCTTAGATTTCGGTTCTGCAATGATTATTTGCCATGAAAGTGTAGATTTTGCCGGCGAAAGGATCGGATTCGATTGTTTGGTGATTCAATTACTTTAGGCTATGGATTCTCGTGATTTCGTATAGGGTCTGAATCTTGAAGATCTATTGGAGGGTTTAGTGGATCTGTTGAGTTTTAACTGATTGTGGGAAAGATAGTCGTTAAGCTCTTATCTTTTTCACTGTGAACAAATAAGAACACTATATGTATATGTATATGTATATGTATATGTATATGTATATGTATATGTATATGTATATGTATATGTATATGTATGAAAATGAAAATTGACTGGTTTCACTGATTTCTAATCCATTTTCACCTATATATTTTCAGCTACTGTTAGAAAAAACTTGAATTTGATGGTTTTTCCTGTCCTCTTTCAAAGCCCTGCAAATAAGATTGATACTGTAGGAAATTGTAACATGGATATGATCCCCACTAAAATAGATACTATACCCTCTGAGATCTCCTGTGAATTAACATTCTTGAAAGCATCTGTTTTTCGGCACTATGTTTTCATCAAGTGTTCCTTTATTCGGCCTGCCGCTGTAATCTTTTTTCCGTGTTTTCTTGTTCCCCCCTCCAATTAGATGAACATTGATATGCAAAAGCTATGTTTTCTACAAGTTTCAAATCACAAATGTTTTGGTCTTGTACCTCATTCTAGTTTATCTATCTGCTGTATAGTTTCTTGGGTATTATATAATGGTTAATTTTTGTAACGTTTGCTTCTTTGGAAGACTCTCACTTTGATCTGCTTGCTTTGGTAGGAGAGAGACATGGGGATCGAGAAGGCATCTCCCGGCCGTTCAAATTTCACCGAAGAGGTAACAAGTGTTTCCTCGTTCTCTAGGCAGTTGGCGGAGCAAATGACGCTTGCCAAGGCTTATGTTTTTATCGCCAAAGAACACAATAATCTTCACTTAGCTTGGGAATTGAGTTCTAAGATCAGAAGATGTCAGCTTTTGCTCTCGAAAGCCGCAATGAGAGGGCAACCTATTACATTAGACGAGGCGCAACCGATCATAACTGGTTTGTCAGCCTTGATATTTAAGGCACAAGATGCACACTACGACATTGCCACCACCATGTTGACCATGAAATCGCACATCCAAGCCCTTGAAGAGCGTGCAAATGCAGCGACGGTTCAGACAACGGTATTCGGGCAGCTGGTTGCCGAGGCATTGCCTAAGAGCCTCCATTGTTTGGTGGTCAAGCTCACATCTGATTGGTTGTCAAAGCCGTCTCTTCGTGAACTGGCGGATGAGAGTGGAAACTCTCCTAGACTTGCTGACAACAACCTCTACCATTTCTGCATCTTTTCGGATAACGTGATAGCTGTCTCGGTCGTTGTCAACTCGACTGTTTCCAACGCTGATCACCCGAAACAGCTTGTCTTCCACATAGTAACGAACCGAGTGAGCTATGGAGCTATGCAGGCTTGGTTTCTCAGTAATGATTTCAAGGGTTCGACTGTTGAAGTGAGGAGCATAGACGAGTTTTCTTGGTTGAACGCTTCGTATTCTCCTATAGTTAGGCAATCGATGAATCCTGACTCGAGAGCATTCTATTTCGGGGAACAAGAAAGTCAAGATCTCAAGCGCGAGCCGAAGCTGAGGAACCCAAAGTACTCTTCATTGCTGAATCACCTTAGGTTTTACATCCCCGAGATTTATCCGCAGCTAGAGACTATCGTTTTCCTTGACGATGATGTAGTTGTTCAAAAGGATCTGACCCCTCTCTTCTCCTTGGATTTGCATGGGAATGCCAATGGAGCGGTGGAAACATGTCTTGAGGCCTTTCACCGGTACTACAAGTACCTCAACTTCTCGAACCCGCTCATCAGTTCAAAGTTCGACCCGCAAGCTTGCGGGTGGGCATTCGGCATGAACATTTTCGACTTGGTTGCTTGGAGAAAAGCTAATGTAACAGCGAGGTACCATTACTGGCAAGAGCAGAACATGGAAAGAACACTGTGGAAGCTCGGGACACTTCCTCCCGGGCTTTTGGCGTTCTATGGCCTGACCGAGCCACTGGACAGAAGATGGCATGTCTTGGGTTTAGGCTACGATATGAACATCGATAACCGTCTTATCGAGAGTGCAGCCGTTATTCACTATAACGGTAACATGAAACCATGGCTGAAGCTCGCCATTGGAAGGTATAAACCTTTCTGGGAAAGGTACTTGAATTCAGACCACTCTTACCTGCAAGATTGTGTCACAGCTTAGCAAAGGAGTTTGATGATTTTTTTCCCCGATTGATCGGTTATTATCGGGTAATTTATATTTGTTGATTATGATCGAAGGGGAGAGAATCTTATACATTTTTGAAGTTTTTGGATCCGTATGTTGTAGATCTCAGAAACAGGAGATTCAGATTGTTCTCTGAAGGTTGCTCTTGTTGCTGTCTGAAAGACAAGGGAGAAAAGAAAATCAGACATCAGAGAGGGTCCAAATGTACCTAAGGTTGAATAGATTAAAGTGAAAATTTTAATTTATTTTCTTTTAAAGATGGTTACAAACTATAGAATTCTTTTTCTATGTATGAATTCTTCTAATAATAGTCATATTTTTTCCTTTCATTTGATACCTTTTTGTTAATTTCAATATAAGTAGGCTTAAGCAAGAAGTTGCCTCTAGGCGTGCAAAGTAATCATCTCGCAGATACCCGAATTCCTTTTCGCCGCGGGTAATCCGAACTCGAATACCTGATATACTCGAATTTGAGATCGAGTTTCGAATTTTAAGACCCGGACCTTTCGAGTTCAGAGTCGAATATCTCGAATTTTCGGGTGTTGATCTATCAAATCCTTCTTTAAAAGGAAAGAATATCGGATCATGATTCATCAAACTCATGGTTTCTATAGGTTGGTCCGCTTCGTTTGTGGATGGAGAAACCCTAAGGACTTCCAATGGAGGAAGCCTTTGATCTGTACTGTTGTAAAGGGTTTGCCTCTGTACAGACATCCTGATCATGTTTTAGGGTTATTTCTTAAGTTCGAAGCAACGATAGCACAGAGAAGGCGAAGGTCGGGGATTTCACAGACCTTTCCGATTCCCGAGATGACGGCTCGGATTGACGGAATGTTACTTTGGAAGAGCATTGGAGTTATAGCCAAGTTTGTCATCAATCTGTACAAAGCTCTTAAAGGTAAGGCCATTTATGTCGGATTCTTACCTTAGCTGCAGATCGTATGATGTTTCAGGGTTTCAGATTCAGATTCAGCGTCCCAAATCCGAGCATCGCCTCTCGGGTTTCCGCTGTTTGGAAGTTCGAACTTTCTAGCCGTTGAGCATTTACGTTATTTAGCATCTGTTTAAAACGACGCGTCGATGGTAAAGAACGACTTGGCATCGATACTTCTGATTCAAGAATCTGTTCTGATTTACTTTGTTTCCGAGATTGTAACCGTTCCTCTAAAAGAACGTTTAGGAGTGTGCATCGCGTGAAGCGAAGACCTCGGGTTTCGAACTTTCAAACATAGTTTATGACGTCGAGGTCGAAGTAACTGTCGAAAATGGCTATAAAAGGGAAAAGAAAACTTAAATGACTCGCACTTCATTCGAACCGATCAATTATCGTTTCAAGAATCTAATCAATATCTCGCTTCGATGGAATCCAAAACAGATCAAACCGAGCTCCAAAAGAATCAGAAGAGGTACAGAGAGATCATCACAAGGCTGCCAGAGAAGAAAGGATGGAGACAGGAGGAGATCTTGAGCGAATTCGGCGGTCACTGGTGGCGAAAGCCGAATATCCAAGGTTTACTTCATGCCCGAGAAAATTTTCGGGCACGACCCGATGATTTTGTTATTTGCAGCTACCCGAAAACAGGCACAACTTGGCTAAAGGCTCTGACTTTCGCCATCATCAATCGTTTCAAATTTGATGAGGCCACTAGCCCTCTTCTGAAACGTTTACCACACGAGTTTGTGCCTTATCTCGAGGTCGAATTCGCCTTTTTTCCCGAGATAGATGTCCTTAAGGACAAAGCAAACACGCTCTTCGCGACCCACATCCCTTTCGGTCTATTACCCAAGTCGATCTTGGACTCGGATTGCAAGATGGCTTACATCTGGAGAGACCCTAAGGACACTTTCATCTCCTTGTGGGCATTTCTCCACAAGGAGAAGTCCGAGGACGGCGAAATGTCGGGTCTGGAAGAGTCTTTCGATATGTTTTGCAAAGGTGTTTCGGTCTACGGACCTTATCTTGATCATGTTTTCGGGTACTGGAAAGCGAAACAAGAGAATCCGAAGAAGATTATGTTCCTGAAGTACGAAGAAATGAGGGCGAATCCGATTCCGTACGTCAAGAGATTGGCAGAATTCATGGGGTATGGATTCACTGAGGAGGAGGAAGCGAAAGGGAATGTCGAGAGGGTGGTGAATCTCTGCAGTTTCGAGACTCTGAAGAACCTCAAAACGAACAAAGGCGAGAAAGGACGGAAAGATCGGCCCGGGACTTTCGCGAACAGTGCGTTCTTCAGGAAGGGAGAGGTCGGAGATTGGATGAACTATCTGACTCCAGAGATGGCTGCTCGGATCGACGGATTGATGGAGAACAAGTTCAGAGGCTCTGGTTTGCTCCGACATGACAGGTGATTGGTTCTGTTTCTTGATACGATGATGCAAGAAACTGCTCTGTAAACCATTTTCTTTATGAATGAAGATCTCTTTTGTGAAGAGTTTGCCGCATTTCTCAGTGCAAGAACATGAAAGACGAATATATAAAGACATTTCAGTATCCATATTTTCTCATTTGATCTTATCGGTTAATTGAAAGTGATCTTCTCTTCATTAAACAATAATTCACTCAAAAACAAACTGAAAACAGAGCAAGTTCTTGTTGGCATCAATGGAGGGCCAGATTATTGCAGAATGGTTCGCGAAACGGCTTCAATCTTTCTTCTGAATCAAGTCCGTGCCTTTGAATTTCTCGGCCATTATTCCGTCGATCCGAGCAGCCATCTCGGGAGTGAGATAATTCTGCCAATCCCCGACCTTTCCCTTCCTGAAATACGCACTGTTCGCGTAAACTGCAGGTCGATCTTCCCGTTCCTTGTCCCCTTTGTTCGCCTCGACGTTCTTCAACGTCTCGAAGCTACAGAGATTCACCACTTTCTCCACGGCCCCTGTCTCCTCCTCCTCTGCACTGAAGCCATGCCCCATGAACTCGGCCAATCTCCTCACGTACGGAATCGGATCCGCCCTCATTTCTTCGTACTTGAGAAACATTATCCTCTCCGGATTCTCACTGTGTCCCTTCCAGTACTCTAAAACATGATCAAGATACGGTCCGTACACCGACAACCCTTGACAGAACATGTCGAATGCCTCCTCGAGGCTGGCCAACTCGCCGTCTTGGGACTTCTCCTTGTGGAGGAAAGTCCACATGGAGATGAAAGTGTCCTTTGGGTCTCTCCAGATGTAAACCATCTTGCAACCAGAGTCCAGGATCGAATCGGGCAACGACCCGTAAGGGATATGAGTGGAGAACAGAGAGTTACCCTGGTCCTTGAGGACATCCACCTGCGGGAAAAACGCGAAATCGATCTCTACGTAGGGCACGAACTCGTGGGCGAAGCGTTTGCGAAGGGGGTTGTCATCGTCGCCGAACTTGGATCGATTGGAGATGGCGAAAGTGAGGGCCTTTAGCCAAGTGGTGCCGGTTTTAGGGTAACTGCAGATGAGGAAATCGGTGGGTCGAGCTTGGAAATACTCCTTGGCGTGAAGCAGGCCTTCGAGGAGAGACTGTTGCCACCAGTGGCCACCGAATTCGGACAGGATCTCGCTGGGTCTCCATCCTTTGGTCGTTGGAAGCTTCGCGATCAGTTCTTGGTACTTTTTCTGGTTCTTCTCGAACTCCGTCTGCTCTGTTTCGGTGCTGTCGCTGTTGTTGCTTGTTTGGTTTGCGAGATTTAGGGTTTCGGATTCCATGGATTACTGGTTCGAGTGCAGAGAAGCTTGTGGGCTTGAAGGGGAAGATGGTTGAATGTTGTTTATGGAGAGAGAGATGATGATGATGATGATGATGTGGGACAGAATGAGAATGGATTTATATAGATGGAGGAGGAGGGCATCAAAGACTCAAAGCCGTCGTTCGCTGATTGGACAAAGTGGGTGCCCCCAATTTGGAATAATCTTCTATAAAAACCCGTCTTAATATATTTATGTATTTTTTTTTTTCAACTTCATAAAAATTTGTGTTAATTTTTTTTCTCTATTTTGTTTGGAGCCACCGAAATGACAAAAACAGCCATCTGTGTCTGTGAATAGTTTTATCATTCCCAGAGTATGGAGAACAAAATGTTTTTTTTTTTGTGAATTTTCATTTCGGTATTTTTTTGTTACAAATCACATGTTTGACCCATAAACTATAGATGCAAGACCTTTACTTTTATGCAAAATCATTATTATTTTTTTATTAGAATCGTTGAAACAGGAGGTTGGTATATATAAAAAATCACGTTTTAGAAGTGGATTTAAGTTGGTGTGGTTGGTGCCCTTCGGTCCACATTTACCTCGAGCGCAGCAGCAGCAAGTACAACGCTCAACTCCTCTCTCTCTCTCTAAATTTGGTTTAGTGTAAAAGTAGAACGACTTTGCCACATCCTCCGCCCTTTTCACAATAACCCTACTTATATATATATATATACATACACATATTATTTAAATAATTATAATTATAAATATGGTGTAATCTAAAGCGTTGTTCCGTTTCTATAAGTGGAAGCATCGATTTCTTTCCATGGTTCTCGTCACCACCAAAACCTAGACTAATCACGAAACCGGAAACAAACCATATAATTCAAATTATATTCCATAAGACTCGATTTCAGGATGAAAAAGACGTTTTTCGTCCCATTTTATCGGTTTAGTTACGCAAGTTGAATGGAAAAAAAAGTTATTGGGCTCTTTCACAATCTTTTCTTATTTTACAACTATAAATGATTTCAATTAATTCTTAGCAAAAATAATTGTTGAAAAAAATTGATCTAAAATGTCATAGACAAATGCTTGTATTGCGAGAACATCCATCCATCCACGCATCACCAAAGACGGCGAAGGGTCTAACCCTAGGCTCACGACTCAGTCTCAGGTCATATCGGTTTCTTGGGAGGCAAGAAACCTATAATTCCGACATCAAGTGGTACAAACCGAGGCTGGCTCTATAACAGATTCATGTAGCGTTTTGCCACAAGGAGAATCCAACTGCTGGGCAGAGTTCATTATCGTCCACATCTGCATAAGAAAAAAAATCATGATTTTCCGCATTTTATTTCCCAGAAAACCTAATAAAAGAACTGAAGAACACACATAAATGGTAGCGAACCTGTTAATAAACTCAGTTTTTTTTTACCTGTACTCTTAATCAATCAATGGTCTGGAGCTACCACTTGTACAACAGCTTTCAAGTTGCTATATAAGAACCCAAAGAACAGAACTGTTTGCCCGACTTGTCGGAATCTGAGTCAGCAGATATTACTGAACCCTCGGGATATTCAGGCAACAGAGTGGATTAGATGTCTCTGGCCTCCCGGATGGCAGATGCAGAAACCAATGTAGGTCGGTTTATCGCCGTTCTTGCATGATCTTGCACTGTGCTCTGCTCCAACATACGCATTCTTCTCTTTGCTGCTTCATTCCCAAAATCTAAAGATGATTAGTTTCTAAACGAAACGGCTTGCTTGGACAGATAAGAGACCATATGCCCTCGAGTTATTGTTGTAGCCATGATATTTCTTAAGATTTCAGATACGAAGAAGATGCCAGAAATACCTCTTTATCTGATTTCCTTCAAAGCAGGACTCGTGCAAAGCTCCAACCCACTAAATAAGAGATTCCACAAAGGACTTCATGTTCTTCACATCTTCCTTTGTCGGTGGATGGCTAGGCGGCTTGAAAAGCTTCCAAAGTCCAGCAGGATGTCGTTTCTGTACATGGGCATTCTCCTGTCTCCTGCCAAAAATTCTTTCACACTCTGGGTATGGCTTCACATATAAATTATAAAATCTATTCATGCTTGGTTTTATCAATCCCTTCAATCCAATATCACAACCAAGCCCGCCTTTTAGCCTCAAGTAATCAATGACATTGTGCCGGGGGATAATATGCTTTTGGAGATTTACCCCCAAATACTCTGGTACCTCAGCCAAGCAACTGATGCTAAATCCCATTGTGTTTGTTAAAAACTCAATCTTCTTTTCTATGTCCTCTATCTCGTATAAGATCGCCCTCGGCTCTTTCCACAAAACCTTGAATGCATCTCTACGAATAAGCCCATATTTGCATAAGCAATCAACTCTAAGTTTCACTTCAAAGCCAGCTCGGAATACTCCCTCACTGAAAATTCTCTCTCTGATTACTTCACGGCATTTTAAGGTCCGGAGCAACTCCAAACACCGTGAAAGCTCCCCCAACTCCAAGCGAAGAACTCTTGGTTCTCTTTCAATTTCTCTCCTTATGTCATCTACGCTAAATCCCATCTTGAGAAATTCATCAAGCAATGGCTTAAGTCTGTTCTCGATACTAAGACCCAGAATTTCAGGAAAAACGTAAAGGAACCTCTCAATACTGTTACGAGGAATGCCAATTCCTCCCAGAAAATCAATCTTCCGGTGAATTTCAAGTTCCTTCACCATAAGAATAGCAGGGAATAAACCTAAAATCCTACTAATGGTACTATCGCAAAATCCTACGCCCCTCAAAATCCTCAAACATTCAGAAAACCTATATGGGCCTACCCCAAATCTACTAGAATGTTCCAATATGTTCCTAACCACAGAAGGCGAAGCAACAGATTCCCCACACTCCAAAAGAGGAACTTGCCATTTACTCAGGAACTCTGATCGAAGAACACCAGGGCAATCACATACCAATGAAATGAGTGATTTATGGGGGATTTTTAGTGCAATCAAGATACCCAGAGAACTCTCAATCTTGGCCAAATCAGAACTCAACAAAGCATTGTTCCTGGAGAGGAGATTCTGGAGACTAGAGGGAGTGAAACCATACCTCTGCAGGAGATTTGTCAGTAACACACGCTTCCTGTAGTGTGATTGGTTGACGGATACGAGAGTCTGAGAAGAGGGTCTTGCTGAAAACGGCCGATTCTGCTTCATTATGGTTACTTTGAAGCCATTGAAGCCGCTGAAGCGTAGAATTCTAGTGGTCAGTCCCATTCTATCTACCTCCAGTTGCAGGGGCACTGTCACTGTGTAAGAAGAAAGAAACGGACATCAGTGAAAAACTGAAATTCAAAGTTTCTGCATTTTTCACTTTTCCCTCGTAATGAAACACCTCCAGATACTTATAATTTCAAATCATTCGTATGTATTACGACAAGTGAAATCTCAAATGACCTCGAACAGAAAAAGAAGTATTTGTTTTCCAGGAACTGATACAAGAGATTTTAGAAATGAAAATGCACTCGAGCTTTCTGAGTGAAAAATCAGATTCCTAAAAATTGAAACTTCAAAATCCGACGAGATACCCAGAATCCAAATGTTCCTAAAATTCCCGATTTCAATGTCGAGATAGTGTCGTGTCTACGCCCACCAAGTGTTCGATAGTATTCCTGAATGCTGAAGGAGTAAAACACCCTTCACATCAAATTAATGGACGCGCTTACAACCGAATCAGAATCATGAAAACTGTTACCTGAAATTGAAGTGACAAGATCAGAAGAACGAGAGACAACATCAACAACAACGTCGTGAAGATTCAGCGGCAAAAATGTTCAAGTAACGGAGAAGTTTACTTAGGGTAGAGAAGAAGAGAAGTGAAATTAATGGGGAAGATGAAGTTGCACATGGAATCACGGAAGCTAAGTTGCCGGAGTTATGGGCCGGCCTCAACGCCAGTCTGAGAGAGAGAGAGGAGAGAGAGCGTTTATATAGGCAATTCAGCCAATTCTCCTATTGAAAGTTAAATGAATAAAATTTGTTGTTAGCACAAAATTTATCTTATCTACCAAATATCAGAATTCCAAATATTAAGAAATTGTATAAACATATGATTATATTAATTCTACCTTCAATCTTCGATTTTGTCGAAGCTTCAAATGCAATATAGCTAATTACAAGTCAAATTTCTGCTGGAGAAACCATAACCATTCTAAACATTGCCTGTTCCACGCACAAACCGGCCGGTTTCCTCAGAAATTTCGGTTTTCAATTCAAACCGAGAAATTCAATTTCGAAACCGAAACCGAGTTTCTAGCCCTAAGTCGTGTCAAGTGTCAACACCGAGTCTCCATTCTCCGCCGCGCCTCTGTGCCTAAGGTCTCTTGTTCATCTCTCTCTCTCTCTCTCTCTCTCTCTCTCCCGTTTGAATTTTCCTGGTAATATTGTGTTCGCGTTCTGCTTCTTTGTAGACGCATCTCTGTTTTTTTTTTCTTTTGTGGTTGGTCTGTAATACTTGATAGAGTTATTGTGTCGGTTTTGTACGGCCGGTCGGAAAATTTTCTCCACTGCAGTGAGATATAGTGATCGAATCCGAGCATAGTAGCCTCGTCTCGTTTCTTGTTTAGCAGAGATTTTCGCTTGATGCGTTATCATAGTGTCTCTTCTGGGTATTTCTCTTGCGTTGTTCATGTTTTCGAAGTCACAAATCGTGGATTTAATCGAACTTAAGGTTTATGGTTTATTGTTTAGGGTTTAGGTTTTAGGGTTTGAGCTAATTTCATGTGATTTAGCTAGGAATTGGGGAAAACTGACTGCATAACTTCTTTGTTCACTGAATTTGCAATCTTATGATTGGTAGTGTGGTTGTGTTGGATGATATTTTGCCGTTTCATAGTGCGTTTGATATCTGTTCTGCTTCACATTTTCACTCTTTTCCCTCTATGAAGTGATAAAGTGTTTCTTTTATAGTGATTGTTTCCAGTTCATAGTCTTCAGTCGACTTGCTCCCCTCAGCTTAATCGGGGTTTGTTCAAGTCAAGCATATGATATCACTTCATTTTTCAGTTACCATTGTCTCCGCCGTAGATAGATCCAATATATATTTCTGCATAATAATTTTAAGTGCTAGATGTTTTGCATATTTCTCTGAATAAAGCTTAGTATATCCCTTTTGCCAATAGTATGAAGAATATTGTATGACAATCAGCATTCAGCCCTTATTGCTAAAGTTATGAAATGTTTTACAGGATAAATTTATACTCTGCGCAGCTGATTTGACGGTGAAAATCGATTATATGAAATAAGAATTGTGCAGTCATGGGAACTGTTACTGTTGAAAGACGTGCAGAAGCCGTTGGTTCAAACTCAAACAGGACTGAGAAGACTTCTGAAACGACTCATAAGCGGAAAAGTAAGCGGGAAAGAAAGAAGAAACAGTCAGAGGAGGAGAGGGGAAATGCACTGATGAACAATGATAATCATAAGGCTGAACAAAAAGATGTCACCAAGTGTAATTCTTCACAGGGAGAGAAAATAATTAAGGATGCAGGAAAAGAGGCCAAAGAAGATAGCAAAACATCAAGAAGAAAGGGAAAGAAGAAAGAGAAGAACGGTGCTTCTGAAGCCGAGGGATCACAATTGATGAATATGGCAGATCAATCTGCTGTTAGTGCTGGTGATAATTCTATCATACAAAGAGTGGAAACAAATGTTAAGGCCGATGCAACTATGTCTAAAACACGGAATCCTAAATCTAAGAAAAGGAAGAGGAACAAGGCCAAAACAATGGAAGTCAGCGACTCATCAGCAGCCAACAAGGACAGCGGATCCGCACAGACTTTGTTAGAATGTTCAAATGGAGAAGATACGGGAAATAATGACAGGAATACTGATCAAGAATTTGCGTGTAAGGAATCAGGAAATCAGATGGAGAATTCAGAAACTGCGGAGAAAATTGGTGTTAAGAATCTCAGAAGGGCTAAGTTAGAAAACAGAGAAGATGAAAACAGTAAGGGTAATCAGGATGGTGATGGAGCAGAAGGTGCTGGAACTCTAGGGGACAAAAAACAGAAGAAGAGAAGCAAAAAGAAAAAGCATAGTAAAGATAATGGAACCGCAAATGTGGAGAGCAAGGAGGAAATGGAAGTAAAAACAAATGGAGTATCCATTTGTGGAAAGAGCTCGGTGAAGGATGAAGAAAGGGAGGTCGACTCCTCATTGCCTAGTTGTGTTGATGGGCAGGATAATGTGGCACAAGGAGTTGTTCCCGGAGAGATTGTGGAGCAGTTACCTAGATGCAAATGTCATGATCAATGCAGCAAAAAGCTTCTTGTACTAGATTTGAATGGAATTCTTGCAGATATTGTCCAGGGTTATGATGGAAAAATTAGCCCAGATGGTCAAGTCTCAAAGAGGTCAGGTAAGATCGAATCGCTTTAAATGCAAATAATAATGACTGATGAATCTTACAGAATTTTTTTGAATATCCCAGAATAATCGTTTTGTCATTTCTTCAGTTTTCAGGAGACCCTTTCTTGCCAGGTTTCTTGAGTTCTGCTTCGAAAGATTTGATGTGGGGATATGGTCGTCAAGACGCGTGTATGTTTCTACACTCTACTGGATCTGTTAGTCAAGTGTCTTAAATCGAATACTGCCATTAAGCCCATCTCTGTTCAATTCATGCATTAACCCCATCACTGTTCCCCATCTTAACAGTGGATTTGGTACCATAATCAACATAGTGATGAGAGATTTCGCGGACAGGCTACTCTTTCGTATGGTAAGTGATCTGATTTTCTATAGACTTACGAGCTAAGTTTCAGATTTTGAGAGTTGGGTTTGCATCCAAAGCACTTTATGATGATAACAGTGAACATGCGGAGAGTAAGAAAGGGTTTTACTTTTCCTGTTTCGAAATTGGCTAACGAAATCAAACACTGACACTCTTCTATTACGATGAATGTTGTATGAACACAGGGTTCGAAGTTATGCATTCAAACAAAGTTCAAAACTCTGGAAAATAAGAAAAAGCCTCTGGTTTTGAAGGATCTGAGAAGAGTATGGGACCGTTACGGCACCTGTCAATCTTGTGGAAAACGGAAGTACGATGAAACCAACACCTTATTAATCGATGATTCTCCGTATAAGGCCTTGTGTAATCCTGTAAGCACTTGAGCATCTGCAATCTGGATCTGAAGTTTTATTTCCATAATTTAATCAGTAATCAGTTGGTAAAGGTCTAAAACCATCTCCTCTCCTTTCTTCTTTTTTTTCAGCCACATACTGGGATTTTTCCACACACTTATCAGCACACAGATCGCGAAGATTCTGCATTAGGTAAGTTGGTAACTTCTGAAATGATGTTTGATCTGTAAGCTAACATGACACAAGAAGAGTTTATGGTGAATGTTTGTCAAGTTTCCTGAACAATGGCATGATCTTGGTAGGCTAGTCTGATGAACCACATGATGTGATATGGCCCATATGGGGCACATTGTCATATATTAAATAAAGCGGAAACAACTAGGGGTGGTCATTTCAGTTCGGTTATGTTTACTTTTAGTTATTTCAATTCAGTTTTAGAAAAACTACAACCATTCGGTTTTATATTATTTTCGATTCGGTTTCTGATCAGGTTTGATTCGATCTGGTTGTTATTGATTTAAATACTCATTATTTCGAAGAAAATTTCGGTTCGGTATTCAGTTATTAACCGAGTTGGCCCCCCTATAATGAAAGCATTCTCTTGATTAAAAAGAATCGTTGTTGGGTAAAGCTTCCATTTTTGTGGGTTATTCGATCATTGAAGAAAATCTTGTCTGTCTGTTTTGGAGAAATTAGTACCGACCATGATGAACTGATGTTTTTTTTTTGTGTGTGTATTGTCGGGACAGGACCTGACGGTGAACTACGTATGTACCTGGAAAGATTAGCGGACGCGGAAAACGTGCAGAAGTTCGTAGAGGAGAACCCGATCGGCGAACCTGCGATTTCTGAGTCGCATGAGTCGTGGGAGTTCTACTCTACTATCATTCAGCAATACACCCGACCCAAACCCCAAAATTAATTATCCTTAAACGTGATTAATTCGGAATTAATCCTCGCCATCGAATTGCTAATGAAGCTGAGCCATGTTTTTGTGAGACTCCCTTTTAAGAAAACCCATGTTTTCTTGTGTTTGTAACTTGCCGCTTTGATATATGTTTTGTTTTGTATCATATAATTATGAATGCTCAAACACGAGCACTTGCCATTATTTATATCATCATCATATAAACTGCCACCAATGGGTCCCATGGGTCCCAGACGTCATAAAATTTCCACCATAAATTATTATTATTATTATTATTATTATTATTATTATTATTATTATTATTATTATTATTATTATTATTATGTTTCAATGGGAAATAGTCAAACGTAGATTTGAATGATAATTTTCTTAGAGAAATGATAAAAGAGGGGTCATGGAAGAATAAGATCAAACAGGGGCAAGACATGTAGAGCTGTATCAATGTACAACCAACTGTCTTTACTATTTTTTACAAAATGCCTTTTAAAGATTTGGAAATTAGTCAAACATAACCCAATCCCAACATAATTTATCTCATTTTGATGTTTGTTATTTTCCATAATTATGTATACATTTTTTCATTATTGAAAAAGAGAAAAGAAAGATCAGAAGATGATAAAACAGAAACAATTAATAATAAATAACAATGAGAAGGATCTCAACATTAAAGTTAATTATATCGTATGAATATTTTAGCGTCCAAAAACATTTATCTATTTTAATTTCATCTTCTTCTTTTTTTGGTATGATAATTTAATTTAATTTAATTTCATCTTATCAGGTATTTAGTCGTTAATTCAAACTAATAGAATGAAAAGTTAATAAAATAAATAAAAAGGTAAATGACCAAAAAAACCATGTAATTTCATTTTATCACAATTTAAACCTTTTATTTATTTTTTATCTTAAAAAATTAGATTATCTATAAAAAAACTCTATACTTCACATAGTATAACAATTTAAACCATATACTTATTTTTTTATCCTAAAAAACTATGTACTTTTAGATTATCTCTAAAAAAACACTTTTATATTTATTTTTTGTCTTAAAAACTCTCATACAATTAGATTATCTTCCAAAGATTTTATACTTTTCATATTATGCCAATTTAAATTCTATAGTCATTTTTCGTCCTACAAAATTCTGTACAATTAGATTATTTCCATAAAATTCTCGTACTTTGTATATATGAACGAAAATAATGTGATACTCGTATCCGACTTCCCGTGAACAGTATGTGTCATATGTCTAAAAATCAATATTATAATAGGTTTTTGTATTATACTCAGATTCGGGACTGTGATTTCAAACTTTTATGGTTGTGTTAAATATTATCTTGGATGTGTATGATTTTAATTTGACTGTTGAATGTTTTAAATTTCGCTGCATGTTTGAATGAAAAGTTTTAAAAATTTCCATATTTTTTACTTTGGTAATTATATTATTGGTTTTTATCCATGTGAAACATCATGTTCACGGGAAACGGGATCAAATTGTACATAGTTTTTAGGACAAAAAATGACTATAAGATTTAAATTGGCATAATATAAAAAAATATAAATTTTTTTTTGGAGATAATATGATTGTATATGGGTTTTTAAGATAAAAAAATAAATATAAGGTTTAAATTGACATAATATGCAAAATACAAGGTTTTATAGAGATAATATAAAAAATATAGGGTTTTTTAGGATAAAAAATAAATATATGGTTTAAATTATCATAATATGCAAAGTACAAGTTTTTTGGAATAATCTAAAATTACAGAGTTTTTTTAGAATAAAAAATAAATATAAAGTTTAAATTGAGATAAAATGAAAGTACATGATTTTTTTTGTCATTCATCCTAAATAAACGTAATTAAAGTACTCTATTTAAAAAAAAATCAATTATAGAGGAAATATTACAAGAGTAATCACAAATTCAAAAATTATTCATGACCGACGATTTTTTTCTATTTAGTGCAATATGTCTAGGAAATTGTTTATAATGCATTATTTTGTGATTTTCCACAAACCACCTTTTTTGGGAAGGGATTATAATAAAAGATGTGACTAGTCAAAATGTCATGGAAATTTTGTATTTTGTTATTAGGGGAATTAAATTATCAAATTTCCAAAGCCCAACTTGTCCTACTTGTCACTCTCCCACCACTAGACCATGAATTTCCACTTAAATTATTTTCTTAGCATATATATATATATGTATATATATATGAACCTACTTCTATTTTTTCCCCCTCTTTTTGTTGAAACCTCTCTCTTGCTTTTAGGTGGCACAAACTATTAATATGAAAGAAATTATAATCCACTACTTTGTTTTTTATTCTCTATATATTTTATGATATTTGTGCAATATATTTAATTCTTCGTTATTTTTTTTTATCAGATTTCAATGATATAGAAATAAAAATAAAAATAAAGATCAGACGACTGCTATAAGGAAAACACTGTTTTTATTTATCATTTGTGACATTTGCTTTCAACAAAACATGGTTTAATTCGACATGAAATTGATTAATATTTTCATATTTCTGAATTTTTTTCTACAGTATTTATTTTTCAAAATGTTATATTAAAATTTTACATTATCTATAGTATCACACTTTACATAAGGAAAGGACAATCACCTTGCTTTTAATAAACACACATGGTCAATATTACGTTTTATGACCATTAAGTGTTCCATTTTTCTATCAACCCCAAGTAAAATCGTTCGTTATCATTAAATTAAAACATAAATGCAGAATATTAACCTCTAATTAATTGGAATTACTTGTTAATCCCGTTGAGTCGTTGACTATTGCTACGGGAGATTTAATTTCAGTTACGTTTAATTTTTTATTATGCTCATATATAACTTTTTATATTTTACAAAAATTATATTTATTCAAATTTTATATTGGATTTTGATTTGAATCTTGTTTTATTCAAAATTAATTGAGCTAAAATTTTCTAAAAAAATACTAATTTTAAAATTTTTGAAATTTCTGTAAAAATCTAATCATTGTATAATATTTGACTCATACAATTACATATATTTCATACCTCTATATATAGCCAATTGAATATTTATACCGTATTATTTAAAGAAATTAATTAATAACTTAAAAATATTTAAAGAAAGCAAAAAAGTTTGACTTTATTGCATAGTGGATTTATTGGCTCCAAAAACAGGACCATCGAGTTCTGGTAATTCACTTTATTTGTGTCACAACTTGAAACTTAGAAACACCTCTTATGAATTATACCAACCTTTTTTTTTATAAATCAATTGAGATAAATAAATGCCTCCAAATTAAAAGGATTTTGAAATTCAAAATTTTTTCTTAAGTTAAAATCAATAGAACGTGTATCAAATCATATTTTTTATTCTTTTTTATTTTGTATATTTGTCAGTATATAAAAAATAAAATATATGACTGATATCACATCTTAATGTACGCAATGACACATAGAGACGAGGTAAAATCCTCATTTCCTTCACATGTAAGCACAAAGATAACAAAAGGAAAAGAAAATTTTAGTTATCTCAATTAATTAAATTAAATTTGATTCATGTTTCCTTGTATATCTTATAAAATGAAAAACTCCACAGTCGATAATAAGACTATAATAATTATTAATCATTATTATTTTTGTTTTCTGATTACATAATAGATACATCATCACATGTACACAAATTTAGAACTATTTTTATAATCCTAATGATTATGACATATTATTATAATCTGATATATATTACGTTATATTAACTGTTGAAAAATTCGTATATAAATACCTAAATTTTTACAAAAATCTGAGATAAATATCTGAACTACAAAATTTTACTATATAAATACCTAAACTTTTATAAAATTCTACATAAATATCTAGATTTCTGAAAAACCTCCCAAATAAATCCAAAATCTATTAATAACATCAACTATTTTTACTTGTGAAATTTGTATTTATTTAGAAATTTTTTCAAAAGTCTAGGTATTTATGTAAATTTTTTAAAAATTCAGGTATTTAAATAGAAATTTTATAATTCATATATTTATATAAGATTTTCATAAAAAGTTTAGATATTTATATGTCATTTTATCTTAACTGTTTAATTTTTCACTTAATTTTGTTTGGGAAAATTGCTTTGAGCCAATATGGAGTGGAATAATTGTTTATTCTTAAACCAAAGTCAGTCATAATTATTCTTTAAAACGATGTAGTACGAGGAAAATGCATATGAAAATGGTATATAAAGTTATAGACACTAAAACAATCATTTGAATTCCATAAAAAAAAGATGGAATCTAAAAATCGACAAGAGAAAAACAACAAAAAGAAAAAGTTAGTTAATGCGAAAAATAGGGAGAGTTAGAGGGAAAGTCTACGTGCGAAAATATCAAGGAAAATGTCATATGGAAAATGCCAAAAAAGTTTAATTTATTTTATCATTTTTACTATTTTTTTTTATTTTTTAACCAGGGAATTATAAGATAAAAGAGGATAATTGAGGGTGAAATGAGGAAGAGAGAGAGCCATAAAATCCAAGAATATGGTTGATGTGGGAACTTGAGGCCGATTTTTTTTTTTTTTTTGTAGATTTAACCTGATTTGGTAAACGAAATAGAAAAATTAAAAAAGAATAAATGTTGTGAATTTTACTCATATTTGATATAATCAACATTTTCGGTGGAAAAAGGAAAAAAAACAATTAAAAAATATATAAATTGTTATTTTCTGCTTTATCTATCATCTACAACAGCATGACAGAAAGTCACATGCGAAGAGAACTAACCAGATCCACTTCCCACGTGGTCTTGTGAGATGGAGATCCCTGGCATTACACCACACCCACTTTCCCTCCAATCTTTCTCGTTTCCCTATTTTATTACCACAAAATAAAGAAAATTATCGGAGATAATCCAAAAATCTCTTTGGTTTCCTCTTCTTTCTTGGGGTTTTCCTTTTTAAAATTTTCCAGTACTGATTAATTTTTTTTTTTCTGTGGCTGTCTTTCAGTTTGTTCCCTGAGCATCATCAGTGGGTATAACAGAGGAACATTTAGTCCCTTGTTGGATCCAGAGAGATTCCTTTGGTTTCCTTCTCTGTTTTTTTTTCCTCTTTTGGTTTTTTTCCTCTGAATCTGCATTTTCCTTGGAGAAATCTGAGAAAAGGAAAAGTGAGGGTTCTGTTTCTGTAGCTTCGGTGAACAATTTGTGAATAGAGAGAGAGAGGGCTTCTGGGTTATGGACAAAGGCGTAGTTTTCTGTGTTGTGGAGCTTGTTCGGTCCTAAATGAGATAAGCCCACAAGTCTCTGGTTCTGTTCTGTGATTCGTAGTTGCAGAAGGTTGGATTTTTGAAATTGCTCTGTCAAATCATCAAAAGGGTTTCTCTCTCTTTGTTTCTTCTGCTTTTCCCTTTTGTGTCAGGTGGAATCTGGGAATCTAGGTTCTGTAAAAAAGGAGCATACTTTTGTTCTAGATCCGTAGGTTTCTGTTCAAGTGGGACACTGAGGGTGTTGATTCGTATATAAACAGAAAAGGTAGGACTTTTGTTACATTGGGTTTGAAGCTGTGATTAGCTGGATAACAATGGCGGTCTCTTTCGAGCTTTAACGGGTCGTGGTCATTTTCTTTGATCCAAAGGGGGAAAACCCGGAAATAAACCGTGGATTCAAGTGGGTTTCTACAAAAGGAAATGCTGCAATTTCGGAGTTTTCTGAATATGGAAGGTGCTTCATTCTTGTCGTGGTTCCATGGTGGTTGCCGTTGATGATGGAGGAAGGAACACGTTAAGGCTTTTTGTCCATAAAAGAAGAAGAAGCAAAGAGAACCCACAAAGAGTAGCAAAAAAAAGCCCCATTGCCGGAGATTCTTCTGTTTTGTTGTGGATTCAAAACCCTTGAGAGAGGTTGTTTGTGATCTTCAGACATGGCTGCGAAGCTTCTGCATAAATTGGCAGATGACAATGCAGATCTGCAGAAACAGATCGGATGTATGAATGGGTTTTTCCAGATCTTTGATCGCCACCATGTTCTTACAGGCAGGCGGGCATCCCACAAGAGGCTTACTTTAGGTAAATAAAAAAAAAAAAAAATAATTAAAATACTTACAGCAATCTCTGGTTCATTCATGTCTCGTAGTCGTTGACTTGTATGGCGATCATATGTATATCTCCTTCTGTTCTGTCCTTCGCTTCTGTTTCCTTTGCATCTCTCTCTCTCAATGCGGTTTCTTCAAAGGCAACGCCTCTGTTTGGATGCCAAGAAAATGGATGCGAAATTTTCTTGGTAGGATGATCTGCAGGATTTGGTTTCATTCCTTGGGGAAAACTCCTCTGAAATTTGATTTGGTTTTGACCGGCTTTTCTCGGTAGATTCTTGTTCTTGTTTCCACTGTAATGTCGTGTTTGACTTGCAGGTTTCTGATAGTTTTCTCCATTTACGTAAAACATGTTGAGTTATGGCATTTGTCTGAATTATCAGCATCTGAGAATTCGACGTTCTTGTTTGTATTGTGTTGCAGGCAGTGCACATGTCGACGGTGCTTATGATCAACAAAAATCATCGGTAGGTCCATTTTATTTAATATATGGATCTAACAATCTTGCCCTTTTCATATTCCGTGATTCAGTGTTTCTTACAGAAGTTTCTATCGGAAGAAGATGTCGAGTTTATGCTTCTTCTTTTTTTCAGTTTCAGGATCCTGAGAAACAAAGGCTGTCCACCGAATCATCGAGGCTCTCTTTCTCGTCCTCGTGTTCTTCCTCCCTCTCGTCTCCCGATTTCAACAAAGGACCTCAACCCGAAGCTTCGACCTTTGACAAGATCGCTTTCCCGGAATCTCCTGCAAGAGATAATGTCACGATGATGAGCGAAAAAGGAATTGGATTACATTCCCTTGACCTCCGAGATGTCGTTAGAGATTCTATGTATAGAGAAGCCAGAGGGCTTTCGGTTAAGACACCTATGGCCCGAGAGGAAGTAGGACGCCGTTATAACGAGGTTGGCACGAAGGATGCACCTCGTCACTCTCTTGATTCTCGGGAGACGATGAAATCAAGGCAGAAGCCGAAAGAGTTGCCTCGGCTTTCTTTGGACAGCAGAGAACGCTGTGTGATGAGGAATCCCGACATCGATCTTAAAGCAGGTCCGGTTTCCGAAAGTTTTAGCGGCGGCAGAACCGTGAAAAGACCGCCGAGTGTCGTTGCTAAGCTGATGGGTTTGGAGGCGTTGCCTGGTTCTCCTTTGGCTAGAGATATTCGTCAGTTTAGTCCGAAGAAAAGCAGTTTGTTTGAAGATAACTTCGACCCGTTCTCGAGATCCTTGAGGGAGAAAAGCCTGAACTGTCCTATCAGATTTTCTCCCGGATCCCCGAGAAGCTCGGGAAAGGATCCGACATCTCCAAGCTGGAGAAACGCGGATTTTGTCATGAAACCACTTTCGAGCTCCAGATTTCCCGTCGAGCCTGCTCCATGGAGGCAGCTCGAGAGAAACAGGCCGCCTCTGAAAAAGCAAGCTAGCAAGCCTGTGAAAGCTCGGTCACAGATAACTAACTCTAACTCGTCTCCTTCTGTATACAGCGAGATGGAGAAAAGATTGAAAGATCTCGAGTTCAAGCACTCGGGGAAAGATCTCCGAGCACTTAAACAGATATTAGAGGCAATGCAGTCAAAGGGTTTCCTTGAGACTCGAAAACAAGGGCAGTCTCCAAACTTAGCAGCTCGAAGAGATTACGAGATGGCGAACTCTGCAACATCATCCAAGATTCGAGGAGGCGTTTCCTCGTCTTCTTCATCATCATCTGTCGAGGTATTCGAATCGCCAATCGTAATTATGAAACCTGCCAAACTAGTTGAGAAAGCCGGTATTCCTGCTTCATCTCTGATTCCAATACATAGTCTGTCTGGCCTCGGAAACATCCATAATAGAGAAGAAAGAACTGTTGATGATAAAAGAGCTTCAACGGGTAACCGAGCAGGAAAAGATCGGGTCAGCTCTACGGATAAGAAAGCCAGTAGGAGAAACCTGAGTTCTTCAGCGAAACCTGAGCAAGTTTCTAAAGAGAATGCATCTAAGAGTTCAGGATCGATAAGCCCGAGGTTGCGGCAGAAGAAGCTCGAGATTGATAAGCGGTCACGACCACCGACCCCTCCATCTGATTCAAGAAGACAGTCAACCCGGAAACCCATAGAATCCACTTCTCCTGGTGGGAGACGCAGGCCAAAGGCTAACAAGAACTCGCAGCAAAACGATGACCAACTGAGTCAAGTGAGCAACGAATCTGAAACCGAAGCTGCAGGTATTGGACAAGACATTGAAGCTGACACCGGGAAAAGTCCGTCGTCGGCAATTGAGGCAGCGAAAACCGTAGTTTCTAACTTAATCCAGAACGTAAGTCCTGATTTACCCGTTTTATTCCCCTGCCCGAAAACTTTTCAACACAAAAACTCAAACTCTTGTTCCTCTGTTTTTTTTTTTCTCCAGAAATCTTGTTCAAGATTCACCGAAGATTCATCTTCAGCAAATCTTTCTGTATCTGCGCCGGAATATCCAAGTCCTGTTTCGGTTCTCGACGCTTCAGTTTACAGAGAGATTTCATCGTCCCCTGTAAAAACGCAAAACACGACAGGTAATGCAGAGTTAACTAAATTTACATTCCACTTGTTAGATCATTAAACATAGGAAACAGTTCTTGTTTCTGTTTAGCTGATGATGATCTCGTTCAAGAACAGCATTTAGAGTAATATAGTTGTTTGTTTCGATGTTTCTCCGTCCAAAGATGTGGAGAGAGCTTTCCATCTTCGGTTTCTGATTTCGAAGTGATCATGTAAACAGGCAATGGGTCTAACGGCTGCGAGGATCAGTGGAATCCTGCGTACAGCTTTGCGGAGAACACCTCGGGATTTTCTCCCGAGATTAACCGGAAGAAACTTCGGAACGTCGAGCATTTGGTTCAAAAGCTAAGAAGATTGAACTCAAGCCACGATGAAGCGAGCCAAGATTACATAGCCTCGCTCTGCGAGACCACGGGCCGTAACTCTGACCATAGATACATCTCCGAGATTCTATTAGCCTCGGGTCTTCTCCTCAGAGACCTCGGCTCGGGATTAACAACGTTTCAGCTACATCCTTCTGGTCATCCCATCAATCCCGAGCTTTTCCTCGTCCTCGAGCAAACGAAAGGAAGCAGCAAAACCAAGGCTCTGAACGAGGAGAAGCTCCACCGAAAGCTCATGTTCGATGCTGTGAACGAAATCCTTGTGGAAAAACTTGCATTCGTCGAGGCAGCCACCGATCCGTGGACGGAATCGGCTAAGATGGCGAAAAAGGCGCTCAGCGCGCAACAGCTCCTGAAAGAACTCTGTTCCGAGATTGAAACACTGCAGAGAAAATCCAAGAAAAGATCGGAGAACTTAGCTCTGGAGGAGGAGGAAGAAGACGATTTCTTGAAGGGTGTTTTGTCCGAAGACGTGATAGTTCGATCCGGGAACTGGAGCGAATTCAACAGCGAGATTTCGGGTTTGGTTTTGGACATTGAGAGGCTTCTCTTCAAGGATCTTGTCGATGAGATCGTTCATGGCGGAACTGGCCGTCTTCGAGCAAAGACGAGCAGAAGAAGAACACTCTTCTCAGGACAGTAGAAGAGTCTCTAATGCATACGAAGAAGGAATGTTCTCTCTCTAACTGGACACGACTCTTTTCTTTTGTGTTCTGTTTTTTTTTTTGGTTTCACTTGATTGCGCTGATTCATATGTAATGTTCGGTAAAATTTGTTTTTTTTTTCTTAAATGTGTTTTACATCATATTAAATTATATGAATGTATTATTCACTAAGAGAAATTTAGGAAAATTCTCTTTATTTAATTTTTTTCCTTTATATTTATTTTCAAAACCTTTTTTCTCATATTTCTCACACAAGTTCATATTTTTCTCATAAATATATGGTGTTTTATAAAAATAGATCACATATTTTGTCCACATTAATTATACGAGACATTTTAATCTTATTTAAAAATACAGTAATCATATGTTTAAATGTTACTTTTCGAGAGTAGAGACAAAAATCGAATTTCCAAGTTCTTTAGAAACATGAGGAAAAATACATTAAAGTTTTTCTTTTTCATACTTTACCAACTTCTTTAATAATACAATACAAATACTAATTTCTAAATATTAGTATTTTTTTTATATATATCTTTATACATTCTTAACGTAGTTGGAAAGATATCCATAAAGGAAAAAAAGAACTATTATTTGAACCTTGTTATATAAAATATTCATATTCGATACGAAATACTAATCAATCACGTCCAGCTCATTTCTAATTATTTTTTACAAGTCAATGTCATAATAATACTCTTGCCCCCGTTGCATGGGAAAATAGCTGGAATACCCTTTGACTGCTATAAAGACTTCTGATACTACCCTTGAAAAAAAAAATTAAACAAAAAAGACTTTTTCACATGGCATAAGACACAAAAACCCTCAAATATTTATGAAAAGACCAAAAACCCTTGTATTAAATTTAAAAAAAAACTAAAGTAAAAAAAAAAGAAAAAGAAACGATGAAATGGTGAAATAGTAATCTCTCTCCTCACTCACATCTTCACTCTCCTCACTCACATCTCAACGCTCTCTCTCTCCTCTAACTTACGATTTTCTCTATCTCTCTCCTCACTCATGTCTCAACGCTCTCTCTGTCCTCTAATTTAGACAAGGAGAAGATTTTCCATTGCGTAAGCCGACGCTCCAAACCCGAGGACAAAAGCAATCACGGTCTACAGGATAGAATAGAACCCTAATTTCTGGAGCTGTCATCTTTCAGTTTTCTGAAAGTTTTTAGACTAGAGGTTATAGATGAGAGAAGCTAAGCGGTAACAGTTGCATATATTCGAAACCATGGGAAGAACTCGGTGGTGGGCTTGGTTTGGAGTTCTTGAGTTTTCGGCGGATCTATGTCGGAGGAGGCGATTCCATGCAAACAGGTAAGAAAGGTGAAGAAGGTGATTCGAGTTCCTCCTCTATACATGAACCTCCTTCTCGCCAATGCACAAAATCTCTTGAAAGAGAAGTATTCAACGTCCTTCCACTGTGACGATGGAATTTGTGAGGAGGATTTCTAATGACTGAATGCATTACAGAGTCCAAGTTTCTAGAAAGGGCTTCTGTCACACGGAATATAGATCACATATATTGTAAGATTACAT